AATATATGAAGAGTTCAGATGCAAACACCTCTAAGTCAAAAGAAGGTAATGATTCGCACTCAATTGCTTCATACTGTTTTTATTTACATTTTACGTGTGATAACAGACGTTTCGGCACAAAGCCTTCCTCAGTGTTCCTCACACAGAGGAAGGCTTTGTGCCGAGACGTCTGTTATCACCCGTAAAATGTAAATAAAAACAGTATGAAGCAATTGAGTGCGAATCATTACCTTCTTTTGAATAATAGTAACGATAAGATTAACGCACCAAACCAAAGAAGTTACTAAAAAAACCCCGCAAGCGTGCAGGACTAACTTCAGTAACTCTGAACACCTCTAAATGCCGTCTGAAATCTTCTTCTAAAATGAGTGTTTTTATCAGGCTCCTGTGTGTATGTTCTGTAACATCACTTTTATGGCAGAGAAAAAGGTCTATTCCTGGTCTTTAAAGTGAAATATCTCAACATAAACAAGAGGCTGAAACATGTTTGATTTTGATGGAAATTTCAGATGGCGCTTGGATGTTTTTGCATCTGAACCCTTCATATAGTCAAATCCCATAATGCAATTCTAAAGCATAAATAAAAAAAACATTAATTAAAAAAATGCATATTATTTTTTAAAAACATACAAATGCAGAGAGCTGTTAATGTACAGATGTTCTGTCAGTGTTTTCTGAGATCTGTCTGATCTTGCTGGTCTGTTCTTAAATTTATTCTGGATATTTTCTACTGCGAAGACACTTGAATCTTCAGGAACCTGTTTGTTATTTTTGTACAAACTTTACACACATGTTGAGTTATTAAGCATTGGGTGTTTGTGCGATAGCTGTGAATGAATGGGATGACAGAAAACCCGTCTGCTCTTTTTATCAGGACCACACGCTTTTATAGAAGTCTGATAAAGCTCCCTTTAGGTTTGTGTAATGTGTATTTGCCAATGATTTGAAAAGAATAAAAGTTTGGTTTTAATTTAAAATTGAGTCAAATTTATTTGCATATCAAACCAGTTATGTACATCATGGCCTGCTTTCAGATACTAAAGCTTAAACCTGGACTACATGGCCACTTTATTAGGTCTAGACGATCTGCTGCAGTTTAAACTGAGCATCAGAATGGGGAAGAAAGGGGATTTCAGTGACTTTGATCGTGCCATGGTTGTTGATGCCAGACGGGCTGCTCTGAGTATTTCAGAAACTGCTGATCTACTGGGATTTTCACGCACAACCATCTGTAGGGTTTACAGAGAATGCTCCGACAAAGAGGAAATATCCAGTGAGCGGCAGTTCTGTGGGCGCAAATGCCTTGTTTATGTCAGAGGAGAATGGCCAGACTGGTTCCAGCTGATAGAAAGGCAACTGTGGGGGAGATTTTCTTTGGGTCCATTAATACCAATTGAGCATTGTGTTAACGCCACAGCCTACCTGAGTATTGTTGCTGACCATGTCCATCCCTTTATGATCACAGTATGCCCATATACTGATGGCTACTTCCAGCAGGATAACGCACCATGTCATAAAGCTCAATCATCTCAGACTGGTTTCTTGAACATGACAATGAGTTCACTGTACTCAAATGGCCTCCACAGTCACCTGATCTCAATCCAATAGAGCAGCTTTGAGATGTGGTGGAACGGGAGATTGGCATCATGGATGTGCAGCCGACAAATCTGCAGCAACTGTGTGATGCTATCATGTCAACATGGAGCAAAATCTCTGAGGAATATTTCAAGTCGCTTGTTAAATCTCTGCCATGAAGGATTGAGGCAGTTCTGAAGGCAAAAAGGCGGTCCAGCCCTACAAATAAGGTGTACCTAATAAAGTGGCCAGTGAATGTGTGTGCATATACTGTATGTATATGTAAATATATATATTTTTGTGTGTGTGTGTATACACACACACACACACACAATATTTTATACACAGTGAGTTGACACATCAACCCAACAACAACCTTATTAACTATTAATAAGCAGCAAATTAGGAGTTTATTAACACAAAAGTCATAGTTAATGCTTTATTAATAGCAATAAATGTACCTTAAGATACATTTCCAAGAGAAGACCATTTTTAGAGATTTTAAATCCTCGTAAAGACGGCTTAATAAAAGTATTTGCGATTTATCCTATGTACAATCTGTCCTCATCTGTACACAGAGTTTATGCTGAAGTCGCAGCGCAGACAGCATAAAGAAAACTGCGCTCATATGCAGATTCACAGTATAAGTGGCATAGCGAATATAATTACAGTGATCACCGGCTGCAATTATCAAAACACAGGAGGGGCAGTCATTTGACTTTGTGCTTTGGTGGTGGAAAAAACATTATAATACAGCAGTCACTGTTTCACAACAATATTTCACACAACACAGGAAATGAAGGAGATCAGCATGCAGGTTGTGTACTAATAACAAAGTGCTAACCACTCACACGGGTTCATATGGTCGACATTAATCTTTAAAATTAAATGCTTTCTAGATTTTGGGATGTTTGGCTTTATTTATTTGGTGATATTGAGTTAAAAACGCATCATTTAGATTTATGACTTAGACGTTGTAATATTTAGTCTATATGGGATGCATGTTTAAAAGTTAAATTGCACTTATGGTGCTATATACAGTTGAAGTCAGAATTATTAGCCACATTTTGATTTTTTTTTCTTTTTTAAATATTTCCTAAATGGTGTTTAACAGAGCAGGGAAATTTTCACAGTATGTCTGATAATATTTTTTCTTCTAGAGAAAGTCTTATTTGTTTCATTTCGGTTAGAATAAAAGCAGTTTTTAATTTTTTAAAAACCATTTTTGGGACAAAATGATTAGCCCCTTTAAGATTTTTTTTTTCCATAGTCTACAGAACAAACCATCATTATACAATAACTTGCCTAATTACCCTAACCTGCCTAGTTACCCTAATTAACCTAGTTAAGCCTTTAAATGTCACTTTAAGCTGTATAGAAGTGTCTTAAAAAATATCAAGTAAAATATTTACTGTCATCATGGCAAAGATAAAATAAATCCGTTATTAGAAATAGGTTTTTAAAACTATTATGCTAATAATAATTCTGACTTTAACTGCATATATATATATATATATATATATATATATATATATATATATATATATATATATATATATATATATATTTATATAGGTGATATATATATATATATATATATATATATATATATATATATATATATATATATATATATATATATATATATATATATACACACACACAGCGAGGAAAATAAGTATTGAACATGTCATGTTTTTTTCCTGGGAATAATATATAATATTTCTAAAGGAGATCTCTAAAGCAGATTTTGGTAAAAACCCAAACAATACAAGCATAAAGATAAAACAAAATCTGAAAAATGAGTTACTGTGTGTGAAATAGGAATGAAATGACTGAAGGAGAAAGTCCTGAACTACTGAAGTGTCTTTAATACTTCATATAAAAAGCTTTTTTTGTGTGTGTGATGGCAGTTTAACGACGCCTCTCATATGGACAAGTCTTATGCATTGCTCAGGTGTGATTTCTTTCAGACTTCAACAGTGTGTAAATCCTGATGGTTTTGTAAATCTCGTCTATCAAATCTGAGCTTTATTCTGTATTTTTTATTGGATTCGGCTCAGGTGATTGGCTGGGCCATTCTACAGTTTGATTTTTCTTTCTCTGAAAGCATTTGAGAGTCTCCTTGGCTGTTTAATCATTGTCTTGCTGAAATGTCCACCCTGGTTTCATCTTCGTCCTCCTGCCAATGTAGATGTTGGACTGAAGCAGCTGATCTTCATTTACACTCAGGAACATACATGTACATAAAAAAATCTAAATATTAAAAACTTTAAAGGATTTAAGATGCTGATGTCCGTCAAACGCGTCATATCAGTCTTTTAAAAGGCTCTACCAGCAACAAGAGTTGGAAAAAGGTACGAATGCTTCCTCATAGTTATTTTCTAACAAATAAAGTAAAAGAGATTCCTTATAAATAATTCATTAATTATATCCGGCCCATCATTATATGACAATAATATAAAAGTGATATCTCCTCAAGCTGTTCCTTTCGTGATGACTGTTTTAAGATTGTCTTTTGGTACTGTCCTACAAAAATATTTTGGAAAAGTGTCTTGAATTTTATTCGGAGTAAAAGTTATAATGAATGGACCTTGTATTGGAAAGACAGTGTTGGGCTTTACTGAGTATGAACAACCTAAAAGTAAACAGTGGTATGTGGTGAACTGCTGCTTGCTAAATTTCACATTCATAAGCCAAAATTTTCTTACTCCAGACCTGTTAGTGGTTTTTCTCAACGAATTTAAACAAGAACTTTTGATACAATTGTCTCATAACAAAAAGGCTCTAAAACTTAATATTATATATTTAATGAGTAAATTTTGCTTTTTCAATTTGTATTTTTATATACTGTGTTAGCTGTTTCTTCTTTTTTTGTTTTGTTTTTTTTTGCAGTTCCTTTCTTAATAGTTAAAGAGAATTCTTCTGCCTATTTGTTGTTGTAAAAATCCAGCTTAAACCAGCATAGGCTGGTTGGCTGGTTTTAGAGGGGGTTTGGCCATTTCCAGGCTGGTTTTATGCCCATTTCAAGCCTAGTCTTAGCTGGTCAGGTTGGGAAATGACCAGCTAAAACCAGCTTGACCAGCCTAGCCAGGCTGGGAGTCCAGCCAAAAACCAGATATGTCCAGCTTAAATCAGGCTGGTCAAGCTGGATTTAGCTGGTCATTGTCCAGCCTGACCAGCTAAGACCAGGCTGGAAATGGCTGGAAACCAGCCTGGAAATGGCCAAACCCCCTCTAAAACCAGCCAACCAGCCTAGGCTGGTTTAAGCTGGATTTCTTTCAGCAGTATGTACTAAAAAAAGTGCTGCATGCAAAACTGTTGCAAACAATTTATTTGTGTTGAATTTAAACAAACAAATTAAATTTAATAATGTTCAACTTAACTTGTTTGTTTAAATTCAGCCTAAATAAAGTGTTTAAAACCACTTAACGTAAAAAAAATTGAGTAAATCCAAGGAATTGTCTTTGAATAATTTTTTCAGTGTACGTGTATAAATACGTTATACGTGTATAAATTGTATACACTGTTTATGGGAATAATACATTAAAAAAATAAACTACCAGCAACAAGAGCAGTTGAGTTTCTTCACGCCGTGCAGGTAGACATACGGGACAAAACAGGTGTATGTGGCTCCGATAAAGTTGGTCAGCTTGACCACCAGGATGGAGTTCCTGAAGCCGCTGTAGATGCGGAGCACCAGGTGAATGAACCAGCAGAAGATGAAGATCGAGGCCACCGCCACCACACTCTTCGCCGCCCGCACATGAGTACCGGAGGACGGGTTACCGGACGACCTGACCTCCGTCTTCTGCTCTGATCCTCCGGAGTGATCCTTAACCCTCTTCTGGCTCTGGATCAGCGTGACCACGATCTGCACGCTGGCGTACGTGATGCCCACAAGAGGAACCACATTAGCAACAATCAGATAAAGCCCGTCAAACGTCTTTTTCTCCGCAGGAGTTGGGAATTTTTCCTCACAAACTTCCAAAGTGTCATTTCCGTCGTGTTCAGCTATGAAGAAGTGAGGGACGCTGAATGTTAACGCCACCATCCAGCTCCCGAGCAGCAGCCAGAGCACCAGCCGGAGATTGTCCAGCTGCACCGGGGCTCCACCGCGCCGGACGGAGCCCACCAGCTTCTGGTGCCAGTACAGGGTGATGAACATGGTGGAGAAGATGCTGCTGGTCTCCGAGAGGTCTGATGAAAACTGAAGCACGCTGCAGTAGTTTCTGCTCAACAGCCAGCTGTTCAGAAACTGCGCTAAAGTGTCCGGCAGGTCCACCATGCAGTTGGTGATGAGGTTGGAGACGGCCAGATTGATGAAGAGCACGTCATTCGGCCTCAAGCGGGATCTGGATCTAGGGAGAGAGCGCAGAGCCAGCCAGAAGTTCCCAGTGATGCCTGTAACGCAGAAAAAGGCTCGGATTGAGGATTCAACCCAGTCTTGGAGCTGCATCTTCTCCTACTGAAGTCCGCGTGCGGTTGCAGATCCAGCGGCTGAGCTTTATCAGGTATGAGCCGATGATGTGAGAAAGCCTGACTGCACTAGTTTGGTTCTGTCTGCTCAAAACTAAACCAGAGTTTGTTAAACCACCATCCTGGAACAGACCCCTGGTGACACCCATTTGATTTTGCCCACAAAACTTCGACGGTAAACGCCACAGCTGTTGTTTTCTGCTTATGTCAGCAAACATAACATCATCATCCTGATTATTGTGCTCATAAGCAGGTTTTTAATTCGCCAAGTGGCTTAAACATAATTGCAGTGACGTCTGGTCATAATTATCAAAGCACATGAGAACAATCATTTCGGTTTCTTTGCTTTGCTTTACAAATATACACCGAGATGTTTCACAGACAAATAATGTCGAACATCTACTCTGTTAAAATAGTTGGGTTAAAGATACCCCAACATATAACCCAACTATAGGATAATATAGCACCTTCCCAATGGGTTATTTTAACCGAATGCATGGGTTATTTTGAATAAATGTAATTTTTTTCCATTATGGTATTACTATTAATTTAATAATTATGGCTGGGTAAATAAGTAACATACAGTTTACAAAAATATTGAAAATGCTTAATTTCCATTACATTTTAGTTCCAGACACTTTTGTAAAAATCACAAACAATGAGGAAACAGAACAAAGCCTAGTTATAAACTGAGCAAGCAGAAACTCCTGTGCAGAATATGGAGCTGTGTGTGCTGTAGAGACTGTCCAGCAGCTGCAGCAGGCTTCACTCAGTGTCCACAGTGTACAATACAGTTTAACCACATTCAAACGCTTCTAAAAGATGGGCTTGGATGGTGAAACAAATATAAACAACGACACTGAGGTAATTTGTTAAAAAATAACAACAAAATTATTTCGTTATGGCTTAAATAAACTTTATAACGCAAAAATAACATTATGCACACATATTAGTACAGCTGTTCTGTGTCAGTTAAATCAGCTGACTGTTGAAATTTTAATATTTAACTCAACTGGTTGAGTTATTAAATAACCAAACAAAGATTAAAAATAACCTAACAAAGCACCAAATATTTAACCCAACTGCTTGAGTTATTAATAAATAACCTAATAAAGGTTCAAAATAACCCAACAAAGCTCCAAATATTTAACCCAACTGGTTGAGTTATTAATAAATAACTTAAAAAAGTTTAAAAATAACCCAACAAAGCACCAAATATTTAACCCAACTGGTTGAGTTATTAATAAATAACTTAATAAAGTTTAAAAATAACCCAACAAAACACCAAATATTGAACCCAACCGGTTGAGTTATTAATAAATAACTTAAAAAAGTTTAAAAATAACCCAACAAAGCACCAAATATTTAACCCAACTGGTTGAGTTATTAATAAATAACTTAATAAAGGTTAAAAATAACCCAACAAAGCACCAAATATTGAACCCAACTGGTTGAGTTATTAATAAATAACTTAATAAATGTTAAAAATAACCCAACAAAGCACCAAATATTTAACCCAACTGGTTGAGTTATTAATAAATAACTTAATAAAGTTTAAAAATAACCCAACAAAGCACCAAATATTTAACCCAACTGGTTGAGTTATTAATAAATAACTTAATAAAGTTTAAAAATAACCCAACAAAGCACCAAATATTTAACCCAACTGGTTGAGTTATTAATAAATAACCTAATAAAGGTTAAAAATAACCCAACAAAGCACCAAATATTTAACCCAACTGGTTGAGTTATTAATAAATAACCTAATAAAGGTTAAAAATAACCCAACAAAACACCACATATGTTTAACTCAACCACTGGGTTAAATAAATAATGTTTTTAGAGTGCAGGCAATTTTAACTTCCATTGTTAAACATGTACAACATTACATCCATTCATTCTTTTTCTTTTCTGCTTAGTCCATTTATTAATCAGGGGTCGCCACAGTGAAATGAACCGCCAATTTATCCAGCACATGTTTTACGCAGCGGATTGTCTTCCAGCTCACGCTCGAGAAGTCCATTGCGCATGCGCACCGACCGCGTCTGCTTCTATGGAAACAAAGCGGGAATCATGGGAATTCTGCTCGATCTTTGGAAAACCGGAAGTGGAGGGAGATTCGAAACACAGCGGATTACAGACGCGCGATGTGCTTATTAAAAGCATGGCATGATGGTACAATATAAGCACTCTTTATTCTACATCTTATGAGTGTTTACACTGCTCCAGTGCGCGTGTGAGGTTGTGTTGTCGTACTTGAGCTAACGGTGTTGCTAACGCTGAACAGTAATGAAGCTCACAGTCATCTGTCAGACCTCAGCTCAGTGTTTACAAACGCTCCTCTCTCCCATTTAAAACGGAATTAATGTCTGTCTGCAATTGTATTCACATGCTGTATTATAATATTATCATCTAAGCTGCTTTAATGTCTTGTTAATATGTTAGATGGACTGAAAATAAGAGTTTCTCGGATTGATTTGTTTCCTCTCGTTAACTTCTTCAACTACACAAACAGCTGAATGCTGCAGGGCGGAGAGCGTCTGGACGTCCTCCCAAACTCACCAGAAGTGCCAAGAATGGAAGTGAAGCTGGAGGTTTTGCTGTCGTCCAGCATCAAGCGCAGGAAGCCGTGGCCCAGATTCTGCTGGCTGGGCAGAGTAAGATCAATTCACACAGACACCCCATCCAGAACCATTCAAGATTCATTAACACGCTTTTAAAGGAAATCTCAGTAAAACAGATCTATAGCTGTGATCTATTTTAGATTTTAAAATAACAGTTTAGTGTCTGAATGTATAAAACACTGTTAGTATTTATTTATTTATTTATTATAATTTTTTTATGTCTAGACATCAAAAGAACAGCATTTATTTGATATATGAATCTTGTATAGCGTTATAAGTTATGATAACAAATAAATGAAAAATAACTAATTAGAATAATAATAATAATAAACAAATCTATATTATTCCCAGAGATGAGTTGTGGCTGGAAAAACATCCGCTGCGTAAAAAACGTGCTAGATAACGTTAATTCCGCTGTGGTGACCCCGGATTAATAAAGGGACTAAGCCGACAAGAAAATGAATGAATGAATAATAAATATTTATTGATTGTCAAATCATAATCTGTTTCCATCCACCTATTTCATGCGCATTTTGCATATGCGCATAAAAAACCAGTTGATGGAAACGCCATGATGCGCATACATTTTGAAAATGCGCATAAAAAACTTATGCGCCTAACTGGGTAGGATAAACTTTTTATTTAAGAGAAGAAAATATATAAGAGAAGATGCGCATAAACTGCGATGGAAACACTTTTACCGCACAAACTCCAGCATGCACATTAATAAAGGTCATGTGATTTTGTTAAAAGAGATCATGTGATGCTTAAAATGTGTGTGAATGGATAAAACGTCAGGCTGAGCACATTATAAAACATCTGAAATGTTGTTTTGGTCATTATAAAACGCCTTACCATTTAGTATTAATGTTATTATATTATTAATGACCTCCACAATCAAGAGCGCCTGTGCTCCGCGTCTGACACCTTCAAACGCCGCTGCGCGCTCACTGCAGGTCAGGATTGTCTTCTGAGGCGCATTCATTTAGAAAAGATTGACGCAGCTTCTCCTACTGCAGCAAATGCAGTTTTTACTGTTGATGTTTGGCGCCAGTTAATCAGGAAGTGACGATTTTGTTCGTTTTGACTCGTTGGATGGAAACGCTGCTTCATTCGCACAACTTTTATGCAATAATCCAGTTTTGCGCATAAAGTTTATTCACATTTTTGGATGGAAACATAGCTATACAGCAGGGTTTTTCAAAGTCTAAGACAGTGGGCCTCCCTTTTGACACAACTTATCCATTGGCGCCCCCCTCCTCCCAAACACGCACGCACGCACACACACACACACACACACACACACACACACATATATATATATATATATATATATATATATATATATATATATATATATATATATATATATATATACAGTATATATATTATAAAGACACAGACAGATGTCAGACTGTTAACTCACTTTTATCATCATTTGCATGAAAGGTCAATTATTTACAGAGTAACAAGTATTTTAATATAACGTTTTTATAACTAGGATGATGGTTCAATATGAATAGAACAGATCCAAGAACTGTCCATCCCAGTCAAAACAGTCGAAGTTTAGCGGGTCTCATGCTGTCATTAGCCAAAATATCTTGACAAACCACACTTAAATGTCGTGGTTCATCAGCTGGTCCTGTCCACGAAAATCCTAAACTCAAATACTGATCATCATATCGTCGTCTTTTGGGTTTAAGCCCTGAACTTGAAGGCTTTTGTGGCGAGGGGGCGTGGCCGAGAGCCGTGGGAACGGTGTGAGGCCACCGCGTAAGTGGATACACCTGCGGTGCTCACCTGCCTCGGATCCCACGGAAGGAGCTCTGGATCATAAAAGGAGGAACGAGGGCAGAGGAAGCCGAGAGAGGACTGGGCCGGGACATATTTTACTTTTGCTTTCAGTTTGCTGGCAGTCTCCGTGAGGAGCTGCCGTCTGTTTGTTTTGGTTTAGACAGCAGCCTCCATGAGGAGCTGCCGTCACTGTTATTAATAAATCATTTTAAAACTGCGTCGGTTCTCAGCCTCCTTCTTCCCGGCGGCCAATGGGCCGTGAACTTCATTACAGCTTTGAATCGGGGGGTTGTAATAGCAGGCATATACCTGTATTGGCGGGCTTGCCAAACAGAAGCGAATTCACAGCTATATGGCCTTCTGGGTAAAAAAGGTTTTCTTATTTTTGACGTATTATTATTTTTTGCTTTGTTTAATTAAAACAGTTAAATATAGTAAAAAATACATATAATAATTATACTTAATAATTGTATTTTTATTATATTATATTTTTTCCCGCGCCTCCCCTGACATGCTCTGGCGCCCCCCAGGGGAGGCGCGCCTCACACTTTGAAAACCCCTGCTATAGAGTGATTACTGAAGGACTTTTGAACGTTACACTGAAGACTGGAGAATTGCTAAAAATCCAGCTTAGAATCACAGCACAAAATTACATTCATTCATTCATTTTCGACTTAGTCCCTTTATTAACCCAAGGTTGCCACAGCGGAATGAACCGCCAACTCATCCAGCACGTTTTTACACAGCGGGTGCCCTTTCAGCCGCAACCCATCTCTGGAAAAAAAAAACATTTCAAGTGTATTATTATTTTAAATGTTATTTCAATACTCTTTTTAATGAATTTTGATCAAACGATACACATTCAGTAAGCTACACCTCGGCACTGCTTTTGATTTTCCAGGAAAAGGAAGGGGTTTTTCTATTAGATGACAACCGAATCAGTGAAATCCATTTGTCATCAGGACGGACCAAAAAGAAGACCCCCAAACTCCAGCCGCTGCTGCAGAGGGTGGTGACCATGTCAGCGTCTCAGAACGGTAGATCAGCAGATTCTGTGCTGTGATGTAACATAACCTAATGTGCTTTTATTCTCGATTATTCATTATAATCAAGAAGGCATTCGGCGATTCAACAAGACGAGGCACTACACACAACAAGCGCTGAGAACACAGAGGAACTGTTAGTGCTCAGAGAATTACCTGCTAGTAAGGAGGGGGAGTGTTTTTATTTTATAGAGAGAGAAGAGTGTTTCCGCAGGTGGTTTGTCAAGCCCACTCGCCTGCATGAGGCACACTTCATTAATACACAGTGATTTTTATGGCGATTGTGCAAAAGTGTCTGATGCAAAACTGGTGCAAGTGTCAGCGAGATTGTTGGAATATCTAGCCAATTCCATGCGTGTTCAATAAGAAAAGGTCTGGAGAGGGTTTTCTTCAACGCAATGCCAAAAATATGAGTAATTTATTAGATACAAATGAATAATTCGATGACAGAGCTCTGGGTTACGTTACCCCAATGCAATACAAGAATTACATTCAGCATATATGTATTCACAACTGATATTAACAGGTGGAGTTTTGGTTTAACGTCACGTATCAGTCATTCTGCAATCCTTTGGCTCTTTGTAGCCCCTAGACATACTTCCTCTTTCTGCAACTCTTCTCTGCATACCAGAACTGAACAATTACATGCATCTTTACTATATTTCACAACATCTACAAAGATCATGTTCCTTGTGACATGTGCAGACAGAAGTCTGGAACAAACGCTACATTTATTCTTATTCTGCTTTTTCCTCGGGTCAGCCGTTTTTCTAAAAGAATGCAGCACAGTAAAAAAGAGGAAGTGCGTCTGGTCAAGATGTGTTATAATACAATAGAAAAGATTGATTAATCTGTTGTCTAAACATTTTTTCTAATAAATAAAAACACAAAAGTAATAAGAATAAATTCCTTTTCTCCAACAAGATGAAAGAGTGTGTTTTCTACAGGTGGTTTGTCAAGCCCACTCACCTGTGAGGAAGCGCCATGAGATTTTTAATGACCACAGGGGATTTAACATGTCGTCTGAAAGACGGTGCTCACTGACAGTATAGCGTCCTCATCACTATACTGGGGCATTAGGACCCTCACACACCACAGGGTGCTTCTCAATTCTTATTTGTGCATCCATCTTAGCTGCACCCCTTCAAGATGCGAGGGAAGGATGCAAGGAAAAGATGCGAGGACAGAGGAATTTAGTCAATTGATATACCCTCGTCTTCTTGACTTGTAGTGTTATTTGATGTGCTATTAACTCTGTGCTGAAGGTTGTGTTACATGGGGAGACACGGTGGCTCAGTGGCCTCACAGCAAGAAGCTCCCAGCTGGGTCAGTTAGGGGTTCTGTGTGGAGTTTGCATGTTCTCCCTGAGTTGGCGTGGGCTTCTTCTGGGCACCTCGTTTTTTTTCAAAACACATGCGCTATAGGGGGATTGAATAAACTAAACTGACCGTAAGTGTATGAGTGTGTGTGGGAAGGGCATCTGCTGCGTAAAACGTATGCTGGATTAGTTGGCGGTTCATTCCGCTGTGGTGACCCCTAATAAATAAGGGACTGAGCTGAAGGAAAATGAATGGCTGAGCTTGATTGGTTGTTGGGTCATAGGAGGGAGAAGCAAAGAAGCGAGGAAGGATATTGAGAAGCACCCTTAGTGTTCCCATATGGTCTCCCATTCAGATACCGGCCACGGTCGGCCAGTCTTGGGCTGCAGGTTGATACGCGAAGCTAGATATGCTAACAGACATTCTCATATAAAACAGCGCTAAATAACAGGGATGTGTCACTGAAACATCCTCACTCACAATCTGTGTAGTAAGCATTAATTCCAGGGGTGACAGCGCATTTGTGCTTTTTTAGTGATGGTTTGTTGGTAACATTGTGTGTCGTGTTCTTCATGGCTGCAGTTCTCAGCTGTGTGTGTTTCTGGTCTCGTGTGCAGGCATGTGGCTGGTGGGTCTGCTGGTCTCTGGTGAACTCTTCCTGTGGAATAAAGACAAGGATTTATTGAAGACGGTCTCCGCTGTTCCTGAAGTTCATCAGCTGCTTTCTCACATCAAAGGTCTGGATTCGATTATGTTTCAGTTTTTGAAATCAGTGCATTTCAACTCCGCCTGGTTTCTTTTTTAACTCAAAGTGTAGTTCAAACACTGAATGAATCTTAATTCAGTTCAGATGTTGATTCTGGCTTAAATCAGTTCATGTTCAGTTCAAACACTCAATAAATCTTAATTCAGTTCAGATGTTGATTTTGACTCAAATCAGTTCAAGTTTAGTTTAAACACTGAATCTTAATTCAGTTCAGATGTTGATTCATGACTCAAATCAGTTCAAGTTTAGTTTAAACACTGAATCTTAATTCAGTTCAGATGTTGATTCATGACTCAAATCAGTTCAAGTTCAGTTCAAACACTGAATGAATCTTAATTCAGTTCAGATGTTGATTCTGGCTTAAATCAGTTCATGTTCAGTTCAAACACTCAATAAATCTTAATTCAGTTCAGATGTTGATTTTGACTCAAATCAGTTCAAGTTTAGTTTAAACACTGAATCTTAATTCAGTTCAGATGTTGATTCATGACTCAAATCAGTTCAAGTTTAGTTTAAACACTGAATCTTAATTCAGTTCAGATGTTGATTTTGACTCAAATCAGTTCAAGTTTAGTTTGAACACTGAATCTTAATTCAGTTCAGATGTTGATTTTGACTCAAATCAGTTCAAGTTTAGTTTAAACACTGAATCTTAATTCAGTTCAGATGTTGATTTTGACTCAAATCAGTTCAAGTTCAGTTCAAACACTCAATGAATCTGAATTCAGTTCAGATGTTAATTCTGGCTCAAATCAGTTCATGTTCAGTTTAAACATGAAGTTCAATTCTGGTGAAATTTAGATTTTGACTCAGATCGGTTCAAGTTCAGTTTAAACACCAAATGAATATTGAATAAAGCTTAATTCATTTTAAATATTGATCCTGTCTCCAATCATTCTAAGTTCAGTTCAAGCACAGAATGAATCTCATTTCAGCTCAGTGTTTTTGGCTCAATCAATTCAAGTTCAGTTGAAACTTAATGAAACTCTGTTTATTTCAGTATGTTGACTCAAATTAGTGCAAGTTCAATTCAAACACAGAATGAAGCTTAATCTGTTAAAACTTAGATTTTTATTAAAATCACTTCAAGTTCAGTTCAAACACTGAATAAATCTTGATTCAGTTCAGATGTTGATTTTGTCTCAAATTAGTTCAAGTTCAGTTCAAACACAGAATGAATCTCATTTTATCTTAGTTTGTTTGACTCAAATCAGTTCAAGTTTAGTTGAAACACTGAATGAACTCAACTTCAGTTCAAACTGAATAAATCTCCTATCAGATCAGTTTGTTGACTTAAATTAGTCTAAATTCAGTTCAAACACTGAATGAAGCTTAATTAAGTTAAATTCTATTCTGACAAATCAGTTCAAGTTCAGTTCAAACACCAAATCAATCTCAATTCAGCTCACTTTCTTTTACTTAAATCAGTTCAATTTCAGTTTAAACACTGAATCAATCTCACTTTAAGTGGGTTTGTTCGGTCAAATCAATTCAAATGTTGATTCTGACTGTTCAAACACTGAATAAAGCTTAGCGCAGTTCAAAGTTGGATCTAAACTCTCGATTGAAGCTGTAAAGTTTCCATTTATGAGTCAAATGTCATTCAGCTCTAAAACAGCTCTATTGGAGACGACCATCATTATTCCACTCAGTGTAGTTGTTTCTGGTTATTTTAGCTGTGCATGCTCTGAGATCTTCCTCACACTGACCTATGCTTGTCTCCTGAAGCCTCACTGTCTCCAGTTCCTCTTTCTCTGCTGGTTTCGGAGTCTGCTCAGAGAGTGGTGCTGGCCGCTCTTACCGGACAGGTTTTCCTCTGGGAGTGTTCAGCACCTCAGGATCTGAGCGGGCCACGGGACGGGATCATCGCGGGCCACTGGAGTCAGATATCCTGCCAGGAAAACACTCCGCTGCCCTCCACAGCAGACAAAGAGGCTTCCCTTCACTGTGTGTTTGTGAAGAGCCAGGTACAGCAGCACAAACACACAGCTAGTGTTCAGACTCCAGTGTGGGTGTTTATTCCGCTGTGCTGTCTTCAGGCTGTTGGTGACGTGTGTCTGAGCGCATTCGTCTTCACTGCTGAAGCGCAGCTCATCGTCACCTTCCTGAAGATCCAGTGGGACTCCACATGGGACAGTAAACTCGGGTTAGTAGAGGATAAATCTGCTACTGTTTATTACAAATCCAGATGTGCTCTTCATTTAAAGGTGACCTATTATTTTTACAAGATGTAAAGTAAGCCTCTAATGTCTCTAGTGTGTCTGTGTGTGAGAAGTTTCAGCTCAAAATAGCACATAAATAATGTTTTATAGCTCTCTGAAACCGAACCTTTTAGGCTTTGATCCTAATTGTGGTGTTTTGGTGACTGTCGCTTTAAATTTAAACGAGATCTTTTTTTTTTCAAAAGAGGGCGGAGCTACAAATGCCCTAAGTGTCAGCATAGTGGCAGATTCACCTCCTATGCTAATGAGGGAGAGATGGTCACTAGTGGGCGGGGCTTTCCCCCTCTGATGACACGTACAATGGGAGAATGTCAATCCAAGTGTTTCTGCAAAGTGTTTCTGATTATAAACAATGCCATTAATTAATGTTTACCATCAGAAGCTGGTTATATTCACACACTGCTGACACATAACTGTGTTTAAATCTCTTACAAAGTAGATTTCTGCATAATAGTCCCCTTTTAAAGGCATTAGTCTGTGTTTTTTTATTTTTTGGAAGTGTTTGTTATTATATTTTAGGTTATTTATTATGAATTTAATTAAGTAATTACAACACTGGTCACATATTGTGTAATTTGGCACCTTTTGTAAGCTATTAAAAGCCTCTTCAGGCTTAATTTTAGTATTTTACTGTTGTACACTTGAAGGCAAAATGATATGCCCTCCTGGTATTGATTGATATAATACATTATAGCAGAATACACAGATTATTCAATTCAATTAAAGACACTTTTATTCAAAGTATACTAAAGTGCATGCAATTCTCAATCCTCCCATGCTTCATTGCCGTATTTAGATCTGCGACGCTGCTTTTTGATTGACAGTTCAGCAGGTTTCCGAGTGGACTGGATCTCGAAGAGTTACCCGCTGAACCAGCTCCAGCCTCCGTGTAAACCGGTGAAGTCCAGAGGTGCTCTGGTCCCAGCGTTCTCTCCAGACGGTCAGCTGCTGGCAGTGGTGCTAAACCAGAAAGACCCCAGGGTGAATTTAACACCACACACAGCACTAGATACTCTCAGATCAGTGCTGAGTCTAAGGGTGCTTTCACACTAGCACTTTTGGTCCGCACCCGAGTTCGTTTGACGTCATAGTGCGGTACGTTTAGCTAGCTAAGTGAACTATAGTGAACTGCCAACCGTACAACAAACTATCGTTTTCATACCGTTCGTTTGTTCGTGTGTACGTCTTGTTTCGTACCTTGGTGACACGCGCGGGACTGAGCCAGGGCAAACACAGTGATGTCTGCTTGTCTCCTCCAAAACCAGCTTCTGCAGACGCTGTGTGATGTTCTGAATGTGCATAATATTTTTGCGGCAGATGAACGCAAGTTGCTTTCTGTATTTCCAAAAGCTTTCAGTAAAAGCAGAATGACCGCGATGTGCGGACGTCTTTCCATTTCGGCGCACGATTGCTTGCGTGGCCGTCACCTAGCAACGGCCGTAAACAAAACAGCAGCTTGATGACGCAAGCGTACCGGGGTTCAGAAGGAAAAAAGACACTGTGAACACAAACCAACCGAGGAGGTGGCAAGGGGAGACAATCCAACTTGAGTACAGTCCAGGCAAATGAACCAAGTGTGAAAGCACCCTAAAGGGCACCTATTATGCGCATTTTTACAAGATGTAACATAAGTCTCTGATGTTTGTGTGTGTGAAGTTTCAGCTCATAATAGCACACAGATAATGTAAGGCTGGACTCACACTATCTATAGTTGTCTCGAACCGGGCCAAAGCACGCTTGTGTCCCCTCCCGTCTCCCCCGATGGCCCGCACTCACACTACAATCGGGCCTGGGCACGCTTACGTCATCGCTGCTGCGCTGTTCAGTGAGCGCTCTTGCTCAGCACAGAGGAGATTTCTCTAGTTATATAGTGTCAGTGGTTTGATATGCAGTGACATGCAGTCAAATATTTCGCCAAACAGTCCTTAGGGATGCGGTGACCGTAGTCAGATATTTCACCGAACAGATCCGCCACTTTTGACGCTCATAAACAATCATAAAGCCCTCGTGCTGCAGGAATGAGGAGGTGTGCTGAAGGTGCAGCTGTCGTGCAGTGAGGGGTTTGCATCTTTAATAAACTACGGCAGTTTGCGTTCACTGAACAGTAAGAATGATTAATAAATCCATATGAAACAGCCCTGTAAAAGTCACGTCTCGCTTTCAGTTTCGGGGTTTGGCGCGTTTTGCACTCACACTACAAACGTACCGCGCCAAAGCCCAAGTGAACCGCGCTCAGGCACACCTCTTCCAACTGTGCCAGGGCCGGCCAAGTGAACCGTGTCTGAGCCTGATTCAGCGCACTCACACTTCTCAAACCATCCGGGAAACGGGCCTAAGCACGGTTCGGATAGCATAGTGCAGGGGTTCTCAACTGGTTTGGCCATGGGACCCACATTTTCACATGGTCATCAAGCCGCGACCCAAATTTTAAGGAATTATAATATGATTTTAGGAATAATAATTCATTTGTATTTAATTGTTAACATACACAACTAGTGACAGATAAATTATGAGAAAATCACCAAGACTTACAAATAAACACTTTTTTATTGCTGTCATTTAACAAAATGGATCAAATTCTAGAAATAATACAGAGTAAAAATGTTAAATACTGTAAACAGTGGTTAGTGTAAGGAAAAGTTCAGTTACCATTAACTAAACTGAACTTAACTAAACTGAAAACATTAACACTGATCTGCTTGAACTGAACAGAAACCAGCAAACTGAAGTAAAATTATTAAAACAATCATAACCATTTTATAATAATCAGCAGTTATTTGCTGTTCTGCTTGTGTGTGGGCTTTCTTGGCCATTGCTACACGGTGAGCACAGTAAGATGTACTTGTTTTGAACATGAATATGTTCGGCACTTTTGTGATGCCCTCAGCTTTTAGAGTCATCTTAGAAAATAGTCCACAGGTTTTTCCTTGCAACTGGGATGTTTGGTTTCTAAATGTCGTTTTAATTTAGGTTTCATTTCTCTCGTGAAATCACCTCACTACATATGACACACTGAGGTTTTAAGCCTTTTTGTCGTCAAAATATGTAAATCCACACTTTACATATTCGGGGTCGTACTTGCGCTGGAATTTCACATGTCAAAAGGGTATATGCGGAGCTAACGTTAGTGCTGTTCCCATACTGATAAACTTCCGGTGACCTGTTATTGTGGACTTTTTTTCCCATTTTATACGGTTCCTTTTACAGCATCGATGTTGTAATGTCATTAAAATACATTCATTTAGTTGCTCAAGCGTAAAACGAGAAAAAAAGCCATTTACTCGCACGCGCCCCTCAGAATCAGCAGGCTAGCGCAGAAGCTCCATTAAATATACTGGGGTAAAATAAATGCTCATTTTATAAAGACATGGCGGGGGGAAATGTAATGTAATGCAGTGCTTCTTGTACAATCTGAGGCCCACTTTACACCGGATATCACTCAGCCCCTGGAGATCGCTGATTTTTAAAGAAAACAGACCTTAAACGCGCCGGTTTTTGCATTGCAGTTCGCCAAAAGCGCTTAACCCAGGTTACTGGCAATTTAAAAGTCCCACTAGCATGCTTCGGCACGCGCATTTCAAAATAAAAGTCCGATATAAGCAAAATAAGTTAAATATTAAACTTTTGTTGTTGTTTTTTTGATCACACACTCCACCAGTTGAGAAACACTGGCATAGTATGAGTGCGCCCTAACTCTCTGAATCTGACTCTTTTATGCTTTGATTCTAATTGTGGCGTTTTGGTGCCTGTCGCTTTAAATTCAAATGAGACTGTGCTCTTTTAAAAAGAGGGCGGAGCTATGCATCAGCTATGCATCAGCGTAGTGGCAGATTCAAAACGGGACTAACGTTATCTGTGTGAAACACTTTAGTAAACACGTTAAATAATCCAATGAAAGGATTGATGAAGTTAGTTGCTCATTATATTCTAGCAAACATCAGACTTCAAACTTCATAAAGACACATTCGTTTTCTTCAAAATAAAGATAAAAACATCTTGGTGTGTTTTCATCAGGCTACCCAGGTGATGTTCATCAGCACGCTGAACTTTGTGACCGTGTCCAGTCTGTTAGGAGGATGCGGCGTGAAGGTGCTCAGTATACCAGCTAAATATGTCAGGTGAGTGTGTGTAGTCTCAGCTAGATTTCTGCCCTGACTCTGCAGATCTGACTATGCTGTTTCAAGATGGAAGATTTAAATTTGTCATGTGTTCAGACGTTTAGCTCGTACAGTACATATCAACACATAACAGGTGAAAGTGGTAACATTTGCATTAAATATAAAAGAAAATCGCAGATGATGATTAAATAATAATAACTGAATTATTTAATTCATGATTAAAAGTTTATAAATATTTTTTGTGCATGCTGGGTATATTTTGGTGTGTATAAATATATGCAGGACTATTGTATAAAATATTTGCAGGTCGTACTGGGTTTGCTGTGTGAGCTGGATGGCAGAAGGCCTTTATCTGGCCTGTGTGCTGAAGCGAGGCTCTCTGCTCATGCTGGCTCGTCTGGCCGGACTCGTCTCTCTCTCCACCACAGGAAGTAGCCTGGAGTTCAGCGCTAGTCACTTCCTGCCTCTTCACCCTCTGGTCACTTACAGGTCAGTGCTTTGCTTCCAATATTTATTTCTCTGAGTGGTTTATAGGTGGTTGCTAAAAGGTTTCTAGCATGGTGCGTTATCCTGCTGGAAGTAGCCATCAGAAGATGGAGACACTGTGCTCATAAAGGGATGGACATGGTCAGCAGCAATACTCAGGTAGGCTGTGGCGTTGATGCTCAATTGGTACTAATGGACCCAAAGAAAATCTCCCCCACACTATTACACCCCCACCACCAGCCTGAACCGCTGATACAAGGCAGGATGGATCCATGCTTTCATGTTGTTGATGCCAAATTCTGAGCCGAGCATCTGAATGTGTCAGCAGAAATGGAGACTCATCAGAGCAGCAACGTTTCTCCAATCTTCTATTGTCCAGTTTTGGTGAGTCTGTGTGAATTGTAGCCTCAGTTTCCTGTTCTTAGCTGACAGGAGCGGCACCCGGTGTGCTCTTCTGCTGCTGTAGCCCATCCGCCTCAAGGTTGGACGTGTTGTGTGTTCAGAGATGCTCTTCTGCAGAGCTCGGTTGTAACGAGTGCTTATTTGAGTTACTGTTGCCTTTCTATCAACTGGAACCAGTCTGGCCATTCTCCTCTGACATAAACAAGGCATTTGCGCCCACAGAACTGCCGCTCACTGGAGATTTCCTCTTGTTCAGAACATTCTCTGTAAACCCTAGAGATGGTTGTGCGTGAAAATCCCAGTAGATCAGCAGTTTCTGAAATACTCAGAGCAGCCCGTCTGGCAGCAACAACCATGCCACGTTCAAAGTCACTTAAATCTCCTTTCTCCCCCATTCTGATGCTCACTTTCAACTGCAGCAGCCATGTGATTGGCTGATTAGAAATTTGCATTAACAAGCAGATGGAGCAGTTCTTTTTTTGTACCTAATAAACTGGCCGGTGAGTGTATATTGTTGCTCTACTGTTTTTAATCTATGCTGGAAATCAGTTTGTGATATTTTCTGCAGACGCACTCCTTTACAAAATCATTTCAATAAATATAAAGTGCTAATTATTTCCAAATAGAGCTATTCAAGGTTATTTGGTGAAATATCGCAATGTAAATCGCTGAGAATAAAAACATTGCGACTGGGATTTTTCCTATGCAGCGCCGTCCTGATATGTACTGTATATATTGTGCAGAGTTATGTCAGCTGTACATCAGAGGCACACGCTATCCCGCAGTGAATCTCTCAGCTGTTTGACAGTGTTTTCCTCTGTCTGCTCTGCTTCTCAGGCCTCCAGGCTCCCAGCAGGCAGAAGACGGTGGCCAGTGCAGCTCCAGCATGTCTCTGCGGGACCCCCTGAGGCAGCGCTACTCCGTCACCTGCCACCATCTCCAGCCGTTCCTCCTGGTGTCGGACGGCTACATGGTGACGGTGCTGCGGATGAGCAGACGGCCGAGTGCTGCTGCGCTGGTGAGCAGCCTGCTGATGGACGCCGCACAGGGGCTGGAGGACATGCGCAGGAGTCTGGCAGCAGCTCAGGTGCGTCCTGGAGCCGTTTATAGTCATTGCTTGATGGACCCGTTTCACAAGACATGTTTGACGGTCATCATAATTAGCACTGCATGCTGTTGGAAAAATATTGTTATTCTGTGATGTACAGCTGTAGTCCACTCTTTGTTTTACAGAAATGGTACTATATCATGATACATACAGTTGAAAGCAGAAGTTTTCATACACTGTGTAAAAAGGCAGGTAACCATTTAAATAAAGTCAGATGTTAATGTGATTAAACCTTTTCTCCTTTAGGTATGTTAGGATGATCACATGTGTTTCTGTTCTGCTTAATAGCACAATAATGAGAGATATTTGTTGAGAAATTGTTATAACTCTTCTTGAAAGTCAAGTTTACACACAATCAGATTATTCTGCTTCTGAATAAGCTCAGATGATGATGTTGAGGTTTTGGAAGCTTCTGATTGGCTAATTGACAACATTTGAGTTAATGTGAGGCACAACTGTAGAATAGTGTTGAAGGAAAAGCTCAAACACACTGCTTCCTTGTGTGACAACATGGAGAATCAACAAGCCACAATCAACAACAAAGCCAGATTACAGTTTGCTGAATGACACTGGGAAAGACTCATGTTTGGAGACATGTCCTGTGCTCTGATGGAGCTAAGATTAAACTGTTTGGCTGTAATGAGCTGTGTTACATTTGGAGGACAAAGAGGAAAGCGCACAAGCCTAGCAACACCATCCCAATTGTGAAGTATGGGGCGACAGCATCATGTTGTGGGGCTGTTTTGCTGCAGGAGGGACTGGTCCACTTCACAGCATAGATGGCATCATGAAGACAGAACATTATGGAGAAATACTGAAGCAACATCTCAACACATCAGCCAGGACATTAAACTTGGCCACAAATGGCTCTTCCAGACAGACCATGACCCTAAGCATACTGCCAAATTAGTTCACATGTGCTTTAAGGACAGCAGAGTGAATGTTTTGGAGTGGCCATCACAAAGCCCTGATCTCAACCCTATAGAGAATGTGTGGGCAGAGTTGAAGAAGCTTGTGCGAGCAAGACAGCCTACAAATCTGACTCAGTTACAGCAATTCTGTCAGGAGGAATGGGCCACAATTCCTGCAAACTATTGTGAGAAGCTTGTGGAAGGAGACACAAAACATTTGACCGAAGTTATACAGTTTAAAAGCAAAGCTAAAAACAATACCAAGGAGATGTGTGTAAACTTATTTATGAAAATTTCTCTCATTATACTGGCATTTAGCAAATGTAAATCATTTAGGTGATCCTAACAGACCTACAATAGTAAACGTTTAGTGATTTACCATCAGACAGTTTCCTTTTTTTAGAGTGTATGTAAACTTCTGGTTTGAACTGTATATTGTTATCTGGATATGAGATATTTTGACCTGAGATTAGTTTGGTTTTATCACCCAGCCCTAACAGCTGATGTAGTACTGCTGGTTTGATTGGCAACGTGTGTCTTTGTGTGTCTGTGTGTGTGTGTGTGTGTGTCTGTCTATCTGTGTGTGTGTGTGTGTGTGTGTGTGTGTGTGTGTTTGTCTGTCTGTCTGTGTCTGTTTGTCTCTGTCTGTGTCTGTCTGTCTGTCTGTCTGTGTGTGTGTGTGTGTGTGTGTGTGTGTGTGTGTGTGTGTGTGTGTGTGTGTGTGTGTGTGTGTCTGTGTGTGTGTGTGTGTGTGTGTGTGTGTGTGTGTCTGTGTGTGTATGTGTATGTGTGTGTGTGTGTGTTTCAGCCTCAGGCCAGGTCGTGGCTGGAGTCCATGTCCTCTCTGACGCTCACTGGAAGTTTTGTGGCTCTGAAAGAGAAAGAATCGCTGCTGTCCACTTTACCTCTGTACCTGCAGGACACTGGAGACTCAGAGAGAGCTCAGGTCAGCCTGCGATAACACATATCATAACACATCCCGTGATGTGCTTTGAAATGTGCGTACAGGGGGCCTAATCATTCTGATTTTAACTGTATAGGTCTATGCTTTTCTCTGCTGTCTTTAGGATGAGGAAGACTCTGATGAAGCTCCGTGTGTGCGCTCGCACATGGAGGATGAAGGCCGGCTGGAGTTTGCGAGTATGTTCGACACTCTCCACGCTCACACACACTCTCCCACACACGCCGAACCCTTGGATCTGAAGGGTCTCCATAGGAGCGTCATCACGGCCTGGGCTCTGTGTGTTTCTCTGAGCGTCCCGCAGCCAGAGCGACTCCTCCGCTTCTCAATCCTCTGCATCGGTCGACTCATGAAGCTCCTCCAGCTCTCAGACTCCAGCAGGAGGACTAGAGGATCATGGGTAACCCCCACCATCCACACCTTCAGGACTCTGCTGGGTTTTCTGCCATGGGACGCCTCTCGTTCCTGTCTGAATATCGCAGTGGAGCTCTGCAAGTGTTTCGTGGAGATGTTCCTCCCGATTTCTGCAGCTGTTTCCTCGCAGAGCTTCAGCGCGGCTCTGTTGGTCCTTCAGCAAGCATCTCAGAGTATAAACCAGACCTACAGCCTCCTTCAGAGAGCAGTGCATTATGGGGAGAATGACCAGCTAATGTATTCATCTGACATGTTTTCGGTTCCAGTGTTACGGGAAGATGCAGGGATGCCGCTACAGACAGCACCTTCTAAAAGGTACGTATCGAATTTCTTGAGTGCTTTTTTCATATTAGCTGGTGTTCCAGGTGTAATCTAATCCCAGACACTACGTTCCTCTTGAATGTGTGGCTTACGGCTCTTTCAGTTCGTCTTCATTTCTCTAGCACTTTTACAATGTAGATGGCGTCAAAGCAACTGAACACAGAAGTTCTAGTGAATTGAACTAGAATTCACTAGTTTTCTGTGTGTGTGTCTCCAGTCCAGTTTTCTGACTTAAAGTTCAGTTCAGTGTGGTTTAATTTTCACTGCTGAAAGTCCAAACACTGAAGAGCAAATCCATCGATACGCAGCTGCACAAATTCCAAACCAAGCAAGCCAGTGGCGACAGTGGCGAAGAACAAGCTTCACAAATAGACGAAAGTGAAATTCGTCTATCTTTGCTTTCAAAACTGCAAAACGCAACAGTTCTGAATGCTTTGAAAAAAAAAAACACATCATAAAGCATGAGGGTGTTCAGACACAGCCACTAGAGACGGATTTCACGCTGAGAATTTGAGGTGCAGTGGGAAGACACCCGGAAGTATCCTGAGTCACACAGGAATGTTGTGTACCTGGCGGTATATCTTATCAGTGAAGAGAAAGTGACACATTTATTATTTCATCGTCTTCAGAGTGAACTGAAAGTCCGTTCTGAATGCATGCTGAAAATAAAAAGGGATGTCAGAGCTCATTTTCAGCTAAGGGAAATGACACTAGTTAGTAGGGCTGTGCAATTAATCGAAAATCGGGTTTCGATTTCGATTACGGTTTCTAACGATTATGAAAAACCATTAATCGAGATAAACGATTATTCCATCATATACCGCCTCCACTCCAGTTCCACGTGAAAGTGACTAAAAAATGTGCTGTAATGCAACTTTTGCAGCATGGGATGCGCATCATTCATATCTTTAAAAGCGCGAAAGAGCACGTGCTGTCGTGTATCATTAGAGGCGCACTCAACTCGCGCAGGATTGGAAGAAGTGAGCTAATGTTGACACAATGTTTATTTCTGGTTGAATTATCACGTAAATAAAGGGATTTACACAGTTGAGAGCATCGTGGCCTGTGTTGCGCTTTCAGATTGCTGGTCATTTGGCGTGAGGTCTACAGACAGGCTTTGGGCTATCAGGAAGAGTTACGTCACAGCAGAGGTCAAGCTGGTGTAAAGGGCGAGATTGAGAAGATGTCACTGATCATACCTCAGATCCAGCAAGCTTTACAGTCAGCTGGAGAGCGTCTGGAGGAGAGCCACGCGCTGCGCTGTTTCACCGGTGAGCATGAAGAACCATAACACAAGATCCATCTAGGGCTGCACGATATTGGCAAAATGTAACATTGCAATAGTTTGTTATTTTGTTAGTGATGTTTTCCCCAGAGCACTTGAACATCTCTATTGTTAAATAACTGATCATTTTAGATTGATTGATATTGTTCTGTATGGCAGTGTTTCCCAACCCTGTTCCTGAAGGCACACCGACAGTACATATTTTGGATGTCTTCCTTTTCTGACCCATTCATTTCAGGTTTTGGGATGTTTCTCAATTCCAAGAACGGAGAGAATGGACTTAGATTCTTGTGAGAACCGGTCTTGCTAGGTCACCTCAGAACGAACTCGGGAGGCCGCGAGAACAGGCAACATGTCCTGTGAGAAATGAGATGCTGCATTCTTCCTGATGGTCACGTGACCTTTACGTGTTTTTACTGAAATTTATGCAAACATTAAAGCATTCATTCAATGATTAATGAATTTATATACTTTTCATTAAGACTTTACAGATATACGTTGCGCAATATAAATAAAACAGGTTTTAATACGAATTTCAGCAAATAAACACTCTTAATGTGTTTATGCCTTCATTAAGATTTTCATGGTGATGTTTATAATCACCGTCTCATTTAGGGAAACTCCTAAGTGATATCTCTGAACTTTAATAATTAACCTTAATACAATGCTGCGCTTCCCACCTCCAGTCGCAATGAGTTTTGCGCTCAAGTCTGCATCGGTGCATCCTCGATAACAAGAACACATCCGGGAGGTTTTTTACACGTCCTTCGTTCTTGCGGTCTGAGTTTTGGAACTGAACTTTGGTGGTTGATGATGACAATACACGAGAACACGAGGACGCAAGACCACTGAAGATCGCATATTGAGAAACAGCCATGGAGTTTCTTCTAATGTTCTGATGAGTTGATTCAAGTGTGTTTGATTAAAAGAGGTTGAAAATGTGTACTGCTGGTGCGCCTTTAGGAACATAGTTGGGAAACACTCCTGTGGGGGAGTGCATCTGCATACAAATGTAATAAAGCATGGATAAATACTATAAAGGATACAGTATGTAGATACAAATGTGTGTTAACAGCATTCAGGTATACAGTAATCGAATAAAAAATTTTAAAAAATAGCTGTGTAGTCTTCATTGTATAAATAAAGTACATCATTAATCGTTATTAAAGTCTTATGCATGAATGTTTTTAAAATCCTCACACAGCCAAAAGCCTCAAAAAACATGCAAATGATCAATTATAATCCAGATTTAACATTGCATATCACAATTGCGATTGTTTACATAAGGATATTGATGCAAAAACGATATAAAGTGTGGCTCTACTTCAATCACTATGTCATTGTTATGATAACAACCCTGCTGTCCGTCCTCAGGTGAACAGCACTTCATTTTAGGAGAATATTCAGAGAGTGTCCGGGTGTGGAGGAATCAACTGTGGGCCGAGAGAGAGAGAGGTCAGTCACTGCTTTTGAAGAGATATTCACCTAGAAATGACATTCGCAGCTAATTTAGTCGTCCATTTCATTTAAGATATAGGTGATTTTTTTCCTTCAATAGATCATTAAAGGGTTAGTTCACCCAAAAGTGAACATTTCCTGGTGATTTGCATTAGTTCTGTGTCCTGCAGCGGGCCCGATGGCGTGTTATATGGAGACTCGCTGCTGTCTGGCTCTCCTCTACTGTCAGCTGTTTCAGTATCGCCTACGGGACGCTCAGGCTCTCTGTGACCGTCTGGCTCTGCTGCTTCATCCACAGACTGGACCAGAGGAACAGCAGACAGAATGCGGTAGGGTTATTACTTCCGTTCGCATGAGAGTTTGGTATAAAATGAGAATTTTTTCACTGAGTGCAGAGTTAAAATCACAGCGGTCTTGAACATTTGAGCAGTTGATTATTCCAGGATTGCTGTTATGAGAGCTAATTCATCGACACAGTGAAGTGTTTCTCCTCCTGTTTTCCCTGTAGATGAGCTGGTGTTGGATGCTGTTGGTCGTGAAGCGGCCTGCGCTGTGGTTCAGTCTCTGGCCAGGTTCATGGCTGCGTATTTCACCAACCAGCCACTCTTCATCCTCCCGCCACACAATGTAGATGTGCTGCCACCACTGCATTTACCACAACGTGAGTGATTGTGGATGCGCATGGTCACAAATACTTCTAATCGTTATTTATGATTTTATTAAAAACACAAAGTTATTTTGAAAGACTTTTTTACTATAACAACAATAACTTAAATTACACTGATTACACTTTACAATAAGGTTTCATTAGTTCATGTAGTTAATATACAGTTGAAGTCAGAATAATTAGCCCCAACTTTTTTCTTATTTAAATATTTGCCAAATTATGTTTAACAGAGCAAATAAATTTTCGCAGTATGTCTGATAATGTTTTCTCTTCTGGAGAAAGCCTTATTTGTTTTATTTTGGCTAGAATGAAAGTAGTTTTAAATTGTTTTAAAATGCATTTTAAGGACAAATTTAGCTATATTTTCTTTCGATAGTCTTTAGAATAATCGTTATACAATAACTTGCCTAATTACCCTATCCTGCCTAATTAACCTAATTAACCTAGCCTTAAAATGTCACTTAAAGCTGTAAAGAAGAATATCTACTCTAATATTATTTACTGTCATCATGGCAAAGAGAAAATAAATGAGTTATTAGAGATGAGTTATTAAAACTATTATGTTTAGAAATGTGTTGAAGAAAATATTCTCTCCGTTGGGCAAAAATTGGGGAGCTAATCAGGGGGGCGAATAATTCAGGGGGCTAATAATTCTGACCTTAACTGTATAAACTAACTTGAAATAAGTATGAAGAATGCATGTACAGCATTTATTAATCATAGTTCAGCGTGTACTAATGCATTATTAAAGTAAAAGTTCAAGCTTGTTAACATGTTAATGCACCGTGAGCTAACATAAACAGTTTTATTAGCATTAAGGTAATGTTAACAAAGATTAATAAATACTGAAATGCGTGTATTGTTTATTGTTTGTTCATGTTAGAAAGTATATTAACTAATGCAACCTAATTGTTAAGTGTTACCAACAACACAAAGCAAAAAAATAACACATTTTATTGACAGCGAACAAGTTACGAGGTTTCATTTTACCTATTTTAAAGGCTTTTTTTTTTTTTTTAGATGTTAACAGATGTGTGTGTGTTGAGCATTAGTTAAGACAATGTCAGCACCTGTCAGCTTTAACTGTGGGGAAAACTGGATAATGTTGAGCTTTTGTCAGCTACTGTCAGCTTCCGGTTTTAAAATGGTTTTGGGGGCGGATCAAAATCATTGATGTAGCGCTAAACTGCAAGTGCAAAGATGACGCGTCGGTTTCTCATGATTATTCATAGCCGAGCTTTCTTATCCTATGAGAAGAGCCGGCTGCTTAATTATTCATGAGAGCACGTGCTTTCCGAAGACAAAGCAGACCTGCCAGTGCCAAGCCCAGCTGTGAAATCCTACGTTGACGCGGACCCACGGCACACAGTATTTAGCCGTTCATGAAGGGTCCTATGTGTTTGTTTCCATGACCCACTGGGTTTGTTGCATGTTTTCCCGCGATCCTATCAACGCCGATCATACAGCAAAAGTGTGTGTGTGCTGCAAGTATTTTTGTCGGGAGACCAGTACGAGAGTTGGAGAATGGCGGACGTTGTCTTTTATCAGGAGTTCGTTCACATTTAGACACATCGCCGTGCTGTTGTGTTCGCTTAAATCCTCCAGATTACCAGCAGCAGGGCTAACGGTTAAAATAGGCAGGGCAAGAGACCTGCTGCACTGAGTCTGCATTCAAGATTTATAATAGACCCGAGGATTGAGGGAGAAGTCCTCATTTATACTGTTTATATGAACACCATTGTGGTTATCTGTGTATGAATTTACAAATTACAAATGTAGCAGGGCATTAAATTAGTTTATTTCTTTGCATTTTAACTTTGTAAGCTATAAACTCATGCGTCTCCTCACGGTTTGTGTCTCATTTTGTGAACCAACTGAACAGTTGTTCGCTCCCCTCCTTCTCCCCTGCTGGCCACGCCCTCTCCTGCCCTTTGCTCGCGGGGCTCCACGCCCACTATGATGCATCTTTCGAAAAAATTCTGAGGTGGACCTGAACCAAAAGTGGGGGGTGTCATGACTCTTTAAAGTATTAATTTAATATTTAATTTAATTAAGATTTAATTTATTCGATAGTAAGGTCATTATTAATTCTGCAGTTGTTTTTGAACTTCAGATTCAGTTGCCTATGGGACAAATGACTTGGAATAACACACAGCAGAAAGCAGTCAAGCTACTTGCTCTGCAAACAACTGTTTACGACTATACAATTAACATGTAAATAATATCATAACAAATATCAGTTTGCAAAATCTAGCGGCATAACGAGCTGTTTATCATGGCTCAAAATCAATGGAAGTGAATGAAGATCTGAATAAGTCTCAAGCTAAAAACTTTCCAACTGCATCGGAAACTCTTACGTGAGGGATAAGGTCAATTTCAAGCCGTCTGTCTGTATGATAATTGACTAATTTAATTTGATGTGTGGTACTGTATGTGACCAGAGCAGACAGCTTGACATACTGCGAGTCTCATGATGG